AGGATGGGATGTAGAAGTGCTGGGACCAGCAGGGCCTCTCCCAGCGGGTGACGTTGGAGCAGAGACCCTGAGGAGGTGAGGGAGAAGCTGTGCAGGTACCTGGGGAGGTGGGAACAATAGTACAAAGGCCCTGAGACGGGACTGTGCCTGGTTTTTTCCAGGAAATAGGGGGCTGAGTGCAAGGACAGCGGGAGGAGCTGATGGCAGGGATGGGGCAGAGAGTGTGCAAGGCCTGTGGGCCCCGGGGGAGGACTTGGGCCTTTGCTTTAAGTGAGATGGGAGTCCTAGAAGGTTCTGAGCAAAGGAGGAATGCACCCTGACCCAGGTGCTCAAGGGCACCCTCTGGCTGCTGTGGGAGGACCAATCTTTGGGCAGCTACGGGGTGGGGAGACCTGAGAGGTGGGGAGGAGAGGAGGGAGGGACCAGGTGGCAGGTGATGGGGCCTGGCCAGGGACGAGACCTGGGAGGGAGAGGTGAGCAGATTCTGCAGGAGGGGCTGCTGGGGTTAGATGTGGGGATGAAAGGAAAAGAGGGGTCTGGGAGGAGCACCTGGGAGGAGTGGCTGCCCTTCGGGGGGATGGGGCTGGAGTGGAAGGTTTGGGGAGGACCCTGCCCTCTGAGCTCAGAGTGCCCTTCCCAGGGGAAGGCTGTGCGCTGGGCACGGTCTGGGCACCTGCTCCGCCTCTGCAAGGTTTATCTCTTAGCCCCCAGAGGGGAGATGGGGAGACGGAGAATTAGGCCCAGGGAGGCAAAGAACGAAGCCTGAGGCCACACAGCCCATTCCCACCTGGAGCCTAGTCCTTGTACCTTCCCCTGGGGCTTGCTGCTTCCTTTTTCTCCCTTGCCTGAGGGCTTCCTGGAGGAGGCGGGCTTGAGGAGCTGGGCTCTCAGGCTGCTGGCCTCAGGGACAGAGGCAGGAGATTCTTGTGTGGAGGGGCAGGGCCAAGAGGGGCCCAGGGCACACCTGTTGGTGCCCCCCGCCCCCCCCCCCCCCCCCCCGCCCCAGGCATTCAGGCTTCCACCCACGGGAGCAGAGGGTTGCCATGGCAACTGTACTCTAGGGCAAACTAGAGGCGCCCCCTCTCCTGCAGCAGGTTCTCCTCCTGTCACCCTCCCCTGTCCCATTTCAGGGCACCTGAGGACAGAGCCTGGGCCGTGTCACTCACCCCCAGGACCCCTGCTACACCCCCCCCCACTTGACACTGCCGTGGGCTCAGGAGCAAACTGAGGCAGGTGTGGGCGGGCTTGTGGATTGCCCCCCCCCCCCCCCCCCCCCCGCACCCTGGGGTTGGACCCGCCTCCCCTGGGAGGGCAGCAAGCCCTCGTTCCCTTAGTTCAGTTAGGGTCACCCAAGTGTGCTGGGGCTTGAGGTGGGGACAGACACAGGGGCAGGCTCACCTGACCCTGGGGGTGCAGCATCCTGGGTGTGTCCACATGCAGGAGGGGACTCTCCCGGCCACCAGGGGCTCCCCAGCCCAACCTACGGGGCCAGCCTGCCTAGGTTCAGAGTCCCCTTATCAGTGGGCACCCCTGGGACCTCACGTTCCTCCTCTGTAAGATGCAGGTGTGTGCCTCTCCCTCTGCTCCCACTGCTGCTGCCCCATGTACTGAATTCCTATGGATTAAATGAGCCGTGTGTATACAGACAGTGCTTGGAATGGGGCACAGAAGTGTCAGCCGCTGTTGCTGGCATCCTGGGAGATTCTGGGACCAGAGGTGCAGCAGGCCTCCCCTTCCCATGGTTTGTGAAAGACTCCTCAAGGTTTTGCGGCTCAGGCCTGTCCCCATCTCTGCCTCTCAGCCCATGCGAGCTGACCCCCTGTGTGAGTTTGCTGGGGCTGCTGTGACTAAGTACCCCAGACTGGACAGCTTTGACAACAAAAGCTTCTTATCTTACTTCCGGAGGCCAGAAGTCCAAGATCAAAGTGTGGGCAGGGTTGCTTCCTTCTGGAGGCTCTGAGCCGGTCTGTCCCGTGCCTCTCCTGTGGCTTCTGGGGGTTCGCTGGCCATCCTTGGCTCTCCTTGGTTTAGATGCATTGCCCCGATCTCTGCCTCCATCCTCCCATGGCCTACTCCCTTGTGTGCGTGTCTCTGTCTAAATATCCCCTTTTCATAAAGACACCAGTCATACTGGACTAAGGTTCACTCCTAATGATTTCATTTTAACTTGATTACCTTTTTAAAGACCAAAGAAGATCCCATTCTGAGGTGCTGGAGAATAGGACTCCAATGTATCTTTCTTTTTTGGGGTATTCAATCCATAAGAATCCCTCCTAAGGCCGCAGGGATGGTCAGGCTCAGGCCTCCCAAGATATGGCTCCTCCCTACCCACATCTAGCCTTGTATCCCTGCTTAGGTGGGCATCAAGCGACAGACAGAACTGCCCAGGGTCAGGTGGGCACAGAGTCTGGCCAGGAAGAGGCCACAGAAGTCACAGTGGCTGGCTCCTCATACTCAGCCCTGAGCTGGGGCCAGGCCTGGGGGTGCCTGGGGCTTCCCGGGGGAGCTGCTCCAGGGAGAGGCCCTGGGGGGAGTGGTGGGCAGCCGTGGGGAACACTCCCTGCACCCCTGAGGCAGTGGTACCTGGGCTATGTGGGTCGGGCCTGGCCCCAGGTCGCAAACACCTATCTCCGGCCACCCTCAGCACGGTCACCTTGTGTTCATTAAGTAAATATTTGTGTGAGGACCTACTAGGTATCTAGGTGCCGGGACATGGCCTTGGCAGCTTCCATTTTTCTGGGGATTACAAAGGAAATCCCCAAGTCACAAAGCAGTGATGTGATGGCGGTGACAGCTGCAGCAGAGGACATTTTGCAGTCACTACGTGCTGGCCACGGCCCTGAAGGTCTCATGGTATCCCCATTTTACTAAGAGGAGGTGACGGGATGGGACGGGGCAGGGGGTGGACAGGTGGGCACTGACCGCAGCAAAGTCTGAAACAGGCTTGTCGAGGCCCACGGGCATCTCTGAGGAGAGCACATCAGAACCGAGATCTAAGGGACACGTGGTGGGAGTCCATGTGGCCTCACAGGTTGGGGAGCAGGAGCCACGGCAGGGGAGGACGAGTTGAGATGGCTTTAAAAGCACCCCCCCAGGGGTCCCTGAACAGTGAATGGCTAAACCAGATGTGCTCTTGTCCACGGGGGAATATTACTCAGCTGCGAAGAGGAACGGCGTGCAGACCCAGGCTGCGGTGTGGACGGGCCTCGAGGACCTCACGCCGAGTGAAAGGTCACAAACAGATAAATACTGTCTGATTCCACTTAGATGAGGTCCCCAGAGGAGTCCCAGTCGCATAGGCGGAGGGTAGATTGGTTGTTGTGGGGGAACGGAAGGGACCGTTCCTGAGGGCAGAGTCTCTGGAGTGATAAAGTTCTGGAAAATTGGTGGTGGTGGTGGTGGCGATGGCGATGGCACAGCATTGAGAATGTAATTAATGCCTCTGAATTATACATGTAAAAACAGTTAAAATACCACATTTTATGTTACATTATCTATTATACTATAATTTTTTGACAGCATCTCTGGCTGCCGGCGGGGAGCCCAGAGTGTGGGAGCAAGAGGGCTGGGGGCGCTGCTGGGAGGAGGTCGGGGCTGTCTGGAGGGCAGTTGCTGGGGATGGACAGATGCTGAGATGTTCTGGAAGGTACAGACCTGGGACTTACTCCTGAACTGGGCATTGGAGCGAGGGAAAGAGGAGCCAGGGATTTTTACTCCTGGGGTTGCAGCCCAAGGACCTGGGAGAACGGAGGGACTGTGGACCCATACGGGAGGGGCTGTCAGTCTGGACAGGCTGACGGTGCCGTGGAGACCTGACAGAGGCGTAGATGGCGAGGAGAGAAGCGGGGTGGCCCCCAGTGTGGCAGTTGTCTGAAGCCAGGAGGTCAGTTAGAGCCCCCGGGGGGAGTGCGGGTGGGGAAGAGGCCAGGGGACTCCACCTGAGGTCCCAGCGTCAGGTCCTGGGTGCAGACCCGAAGAGGGAGGGGAGCCCCTCCACTCAGATGCGCGCGCCCTGTGCCCTGACTCATCCGGTGCCGTGGACAGCTCCCTTGGGTGGCTCTCAGGCTGGCCTGTCACGTGTGCACACTGTTGTCCTTACCAGAACCCTGCAGGTTTGAGGCGCAGAGGGAACTGGGGTAGAGGTGGGGGGCGGGACCTGGCTCAAGTTCCCAGCAGTCCTGAGTGGCCGAGTCGGATCCACACCCTGTGGGCTGGCGCCCCCAGAGCCTGGCAGCCGGCAGCCTTTCCAGCATTAACCAGCACTAACTAGTAAGCCCCCCAGGGACACCCGGGGAGGGGAATGGCCGTCAGCATGGGGTCAGTGCTTCTCCTGAGGCTGACGGGGGTGGGGGGGGGTGTTAACAAGGAAGCCCCAGCCCCCCACAGTGGAACATGATAAAATGCTTCGAGGGAAACCCGAAGTGCCACAGGCCACGTCTGGTTGGGGTGAGGCAGTTAGAGGGGCGCTTCATGAAGGTGGTGGGGGCCGTTCGAGACCACACTGTCTTGTCACTTTGCATGCGGTGCAAAAGAGGAGCCTGAGACCTGGAGGGGGGGGTCCTGCCCACGAGTGTGCTGCTTCCACCTTTATTTCTGGAGAACCTGTCAAGTCCCTGCCCTCGAGCTCATGGGCTAGCAGGGAAGGTTGACAACAGACCTGCTAGTGTAATACAGGTAACTCCAGATGTGCTTGAAAGCTGTACGTCAAAAATGGCAACAGGATGGCTAGTGGGAGCAGCAGGAATGTTTGGGGAGGTCAGGGTAGGTTGCTCGGCCGCCCGGTGTGGCCTTGGAGTTGAGCCCTGAACGGGAGAGGCCAGAGCAGGTGTACGGGGATCCTGGGAGAGCATTCCAGGCAGAGCGCAGCCCTGGCCAAGTGGGGGAGGGGCGGGGCAGGAAGCCAGAGCATCCTAGGGACTGCAGGAGGCCGGTTACAGAGTAGGGTGGCACCGATCACCTTGGCCTCTAGGCCCTGGTGAGGAGCACAGACCCCAGCGGAGAGCTGAGGGGGAGGTTACCACTCAGATCTACGTCATTCAGTGATCCCTTAGCACTGAGCTGAGGACAGGCCAGGAGGTAGGGAGGCCAAGACGAACGTCCGGGTGCGGCAGGGTGGTGGCTTGGTCCTGGCTGCTGGCACCGGGGGCCCCAAGCGGGCAGGTTGGCGAGGTACTCTGGAGGCCGAGCTCTCAGGACTGGCTGATGGAGCTGGTGAAGGGCGGAGGTGTGGAAGGGTGAGCAGTCGAAGTGCATTCCTAGGTTTAGGTCTGAGATTCAACACTCATTGCTGTGCCAGGCCTGTTCTAGAAGCTGGGGCTGGGGCTGTGAGCAAAGCAGTCCAGTGATTCCTGTCTGTGCAGGGGCTGTTCCGTGCAAGAAATAATAGTTACTTTGTTAAAAAGTATCTTATTTATTTGAGAGACCAAGAGAAAGCACTGGAGGGCTCTATCCCAAGACTCTGGGATCATGACCAGAGCCAAAGGCAAACGCTTAACCCACTGAGCCACCAGGCGCCCCTAAATAGTTACATTTGCACAAAGGCCTAAAGGAGGTGAGGGGAGTGGCCTTAAGGATAACTGGTGGGCAGAACTGCAGAAGAACTGACAAGTGCAAAGGCCCTGGGGCCGGGCTTGATGTGGTCAGGGAATGTCAGGGAGCCAACTGGGCTGGTGGACTGGCTTTCACTCGGTGGGGGGAAGAACAGTAATCGGGCCCCTGTTGAGAGATTCCAAACAGAAAATAAGAGATGGGGAAGGTATCCGCTGGTCAACGGCATTGAAACTCTGGGACAGACTGGGGTGAGGCTGGAGAAGACAGAGTGAGTGGGTGTGTTCACACACTGGAGGGCCTGTAGAAACCCGGGTGCTGGCCCTCCCCGGAGGATGTGTGTTCGTAGAAGTGCCTGGCCAGGCTGGTGCCGCTGGGCCGGGGCCACCGCTGAGAACCGCAGTGCAGATAACGCAAAGGGCTGCCGACAGGAGAGATCTGGGTTTGCAACTCGGAGAGCATCCAGGGGAGCCGGGGTGGGGGGGAAGGGAGGAGCGGCCGGGAGGGCAGGAAGTGGGTCAGAACTGAGCCAAGGTGCTGCACCCAGGGACGGGGACCAGGACGGGGACGGGGACGGGGACAGGACGGACAGGTGGCTGGGAGCATTGCAGGGGAGGGCACACAACACCAGCTGCCCCCCCTCCACCCCTTGGGACCGCACCCCCTCCCTTCCCCTGCCTGCCTGTCTCCAGCTTACCTCGAGGGTCCCCCGAGGGGAAGGAGGGGACTCAGTTGTCCCTCGTCCCCGATCTGTGGCGCCAGCCAGCTGGATCCTAATTAGCTACCAGAGCGGGGGAGACAGGAAGCAAGAGCTGGGGCGGGGCCTGGACCTGCCCTACCGGGAGGCTGCCACTCAAGGCTGCCAGTCAAGGCCAGGATGCCTCCATACCCCCACCCCTGCGCCAGGTCCGGGAGACCAGTGGGCAGGGGTAGGATTTGGGGATGGAGAAGAGGCTTCCAGAAGGCCTTTATCTCCCATGATAGGGGGTCGATGCCCGCTGGGTGCAGGCGGGCCCTTCACAGCCCTGACATCCCCGAGAGCTGCCCCTGCTACCTGAGAGGGGCTGTGGGACCATGGGAGGTGCTTCCAGGAGGTTCCCTGTGGCCCACAGTGCCCGGATGGCTGGGGCTGTCCACCGGCTGGGGGTGGGAGTTAGCAGCGTTGGCTGGAGGGCCTGGAGGGGCGTCAGCCGCTGCCCCAGGGGTACAGCCTGTCACATGCAGCTGGCTCCAGGGAGGTCTGCTGACCAGCCCCTCTCCAAACGCACCCCCCCTGGGCCTGCTGGGGGCTGCCCCCGCCTCACTCTCCCTGTTCTCCCCAGGCTGGTGGGCCGGGCCGTGGCGCCCACCTGCTGATGCGGGGCAAGGCCCCCGACACAGGACACTGAGCACCCCGAACACGCCCCCGACCGCCACCATGGCCCGCCTGGCCGCAGTGCTCTGGAGTCTCTGCATCACCGCCGTCCTGGTCACCTCGGCCACCCAAGGTAGGTGCTGCCGGGGCCGGGGAGGAGCCGGGGCTCCAAAAGGCCACTGGGGGGGCGGATAAGATGCTGAGATACCTCCCATCTGCTCGGTGAGGAACCACGGTCCCTACCTCGCCCCAGACGGCGGCGGAACCAGACCAGAAGAGGACTTGGTAATCGCACCCCCCAGCACCCTCCAGGGGTCTCTGGACCAGCCCCTCACCCCCAACACCCGGGGTGGCAGGGCTCAGCCCTCCAGGGGTCCTGGAGCCTGGGATGCGGGCTGTGGCCTCCTGGGACCAGGACGGGCCTTCCCGGTGAGCCGGTCCTCCTCTGTCTTATGTGTGTGTCTTTCTCTGTGATTACATCTCTGAGGCTCTCGCTGGGAAGAAGGCTTAATTAAAGCATGCCCGCTGACGTTTATTTAAAAACAACTAATTACCGGGCTCGGCCCTATGCCGGCCCCAGGATCCTGCACATGCAACAATTAGTGCCCCAAGCCTGCCCGCCCACCTTCACCAATTACTCAATTATGGTCCCCATGGCGGGCCCAGGCGGGGGCAAGGGCAGGGCGAGAGGAGAGGCAGGAAGAAGGGGCCTGCTGGCCTTGCCCCTCGCCCTGGGACATGCCCCCAGCTGGCACTGTCTGGAGAGCAGTTCAAGTGGACTCTGCTCCCCAGTGTCCTTCACGTAGCCCAGTACTCCGAAAGCCACAAAGGTGTAGGGGGCATTGTTCAGCCTGACCCCAGGGCCTTGGCACTACTCTGGCCAGCTGGCACCCTCTGCTTCCCCAGTGCCCATGTTCTCTGCCCATCCAGGTCCTGCCCCACCGCCCCAGCTGGGCCGGGAGGGGCCGCTTCCACCCCCAGACCCATCTGAGCCAGCCCTCCACCCCCGGCCTCCCTCCCGGCCCAGGAAGGGCTAAAATTAGCTGTGGAAGCAGATGGTGCTAGAGGAACACATGTAATACTTTCCCCCAAGTGAGACTCAACTCACCCCAGAAAACCCCAGGGGCCTAGCTGCCATCCCCTTGGGGCCCCCTACCCGATATTGGAGAGAACAGATCTCTGAAAGGGGCCTGGTACTTCTCTCCACCCACGAGCCGCAGTGCACACAATGGAGCCTGTGCGGTCACTTTATGCATCCCCACTTTGCGCCAGCACCCTGCAAGGCCTAGCTGGGGCAGTGTCCGGGTAGGTGGCTGACCTGGCGGGTGTGGACCACGTGGAGCCCCCTCTGTCCTTCAGAGACTGGCTGCCTCAATGATCTTTTTTTTTTTTTTTTTTTTAAAGATTTTGTTTATTTATTTGAAAGGGAGAGCGAGGGATCCCTGGGTGGCGCAGCGGTTTGGCGCCTGCCTTTGGCCCAGGGCGTGATTCTGGAGACCCCGGATCGAATCCCACGTCGGGCTCCCGGTGCATGGAGCCTGCTTCTCCCTCTGCCTGTGTCTCTGCCTCTCTCTCTCTCTCTCTGTGTGACTATCATAAATAAATAAAAAAAATTAAAAAAAAAAAAAAAAAGAAAGGGAGAGCGAGAGCTTGAGTGGGAGGGGCTGAGGGAGAGAATCTCAGGCAGACTCCCCGCTGAGCAAGGAGCCTGATGCAGGGCTTGATCCCAGGACCCTGAGATCATACCCGAGCCGAAGGCAGACACATAACCAGATGAGCTCCCCAGATGCCCTTCAGTAATCTTAGGGATAGTAGTACTTAGTACCCATCATCCCTGTGGACGGCCTGCACCTGCTGCAGCCCTCACAGTGCTGGGAGGTGGGAGTGGCAGCTCCTTGGAGGAGAAACTGGGGCCACAGAGGTGATCAGTTACTGGACGAGTGTCTGGCTCCTAAGTTGGAGCGTCTAGCCCCTGAGTTGGAGCTCTCAGTCCTCACATGGCCCAGGATGGGGACTGGCCTGTGCCGGTGCAACCCCATGGGGAATGTTCTTTCATTGTCGCGCTGACCCTCACTACGCATGGCACCATGCTGAGTGCTTCCTTTGGGAACATTCTATAGTGTGTGGAATCCTCGAAGCCTAGCCCTGGGCTGTCAGTGCTGATCATACAGATTGGAAACTGAGGCCCAAGGAGGCTAACACATTGGCTGTCCAAACTGAGTATGCATCAGAATCGTTGGTGGACACACAGGTTGGAGGTTCCTGCTTTCACCCTTGAGGTTCTGATGCAGCAGGCCTGGGGGTAGGAAGCCGGAATCTGCCTTCCTAACCAGCCACTACGTGACACTGGCACTGCTGATCCACAGGCCCCACTGAGAGCTCTGGCCCAGCCGACATGCCTGGCCTCTCAGCTGCGGAGTGGCCAGGCCAGGCGTGGTTTCTTTCAGAACATGAGAGCATTTCCTCCCATGCCCTCTCCCCTCCTTAGGTGGGGTGGCATACCCAAGACTACCCTCATTTCTGACACCAGTTGTGAGTTTCTAGACCATTCTCAGATTTCATGATTCACTAGAAGCATTCGTAGAATTCTGAGGCACTGTTCTACTCTTGGTTACGGCTTATTACAGTGAATAGTTATAGGTCAAATCAGCCAGAAGAGGTGTGTGGGGAAGCTTCCAGGAAGGTTCCATGCACAGGCCTTGCGGTTGTCCCATCGCAGTGGAGCTGTGGGCAGCGTCACATCTCCCAGCAGTGTTGTGTGACAACGTGCATGGTGTACTGCCAACCTGGGATGCTCCCCTGAGCCTTGAGGTCCAGAGTCTTTACTGGGGTTTGGTCATGTAGACACGGGTGACCACCCACGTGACTGACCCCTGTCTCCAGCCCTTCCAGAAGTCCGTGGATACCCAGAAGCACTTGATCACATTGTTAGTGTGCTCATTTGCTAGGGCCTCTGGGACAAAGTATCACAGACTGGGTGGCTTCAACCACAGAATCGTACTGCCTTACAGTTAGTTCCAGAGGCTGGGAGTTAAAGATCAAGGTGGCGGCAGGCTTAGCTCCTTCTGAGGGCTGGGAGGGAAGAGGCTATTCCAGGCCTTCTCCTGGGCTTGCAGCTGGCCATCTTCTCCTTGTGTTTCCACACTGACTTCCGTTTGTGTGTGACTCTGCGTCCAAATTTCCCCTTTTCATAAGGACACTGGTCATATTGGATCAGGGCCTACCTTAATGGCCTGATTTTACCTTGATCACCTCTGCTTCAAATTTGGTCCCATTCCAAGGTCCTAGGGATTGGAACTTCAGCATTTGTGGTGGGGAGGATGCAATTCAACCCATCACAGTTAGTGTAGACCCCTGGCCTGGCCCAGGGCCCCCAGGTAAACAAAGATGCCCATCAGGCAGGATACTCCCGGTACTTTGAAGCACCTCCCAGGAGCCAAGGGCAAGGACTTGACTGCACAGGCAGGCACGTTGAAAAGCCCATTTCACAGATGAAAGAACTGAGGTCCATACAACCCACATCCTGGATACAGCCAGGCTGGAGGGGGCACCTCCTCAGCAGGATCTTCCCTTCCCATAGGCCTGAGCCGGGCTGGGCTCCCATTCGGGTTGATGCGCCGGGAGCTGGCATGCGAAGGCTACCCCATAGAGCTGCGGTGTCCAGGCAGTGACGTCATCATGGTGGAGAATGCCAACTACGGGCGCACAGATGACAAGATCTGCGACGCCGACCCTTTCCAGATGGAGAACGTGCAGTGCTACCTGCCCGACGCCTTCAAGATCATGTCGCAGAGGTGAGTCCTTCCCACCCTCCCCGGCTCCTGGGAGGAGGGCTGGAGGCAGCTCCCGGGGTCCCTGGATAAGTGTCCTCCACGTGTCCCCTGGCCAGGGCACCTTGTTCACCCTCAGTCTTCCTTCTGTGCATCCTGCATGTTTCCTGAGCACCTGCTAGGGGCCAGGTCCCACAGAGCCAGCCAGGAAGACCCAGCCCCTCTTCCCCAGCAGCCCGTACCCACTAGGCACCTCCAGAAGCCCATTCCAGGATTCCTAGGGGTGGCAGTTGAGGTCTCGCAGTATAAAAGCAATAGCAGGACAGGGCAAGTGTCATGGGAGCTGAGGGAGAGCCCAGGGGTCACGCAGGCTTCCCTGAGGAGCTGCTGTCAGAACACAGATGGCAGAAGTGCACCTGAGTGTGAGTGTGAGAGAAAGGGAGCGCCCGAGTGTGCAAGGCTGTGTGTGAGTGCGGGGAGATGCTAGGTAGAGGCACTGTGGGTGCGAAGCTGCAAAAGGCTTCCTCGCACCCACTGCCTGTCCCCTCAGAGCCAGTCAGCTCTTCCTTCCGATTACACCGAGACTCAATCACTGCTTCCGCAGCCAGCTCCCCCTTGGGGTTGCCGGCCACAGGCTGTTCCCGGCACAGCAGCCAGGGGGCGCCCACCTCACTCAGGGCAAAGCCTGTGAGACCCCTGAGGCCCACAAGGCCGCGCTACTTTCTCAGGGCCCTCAACATCCCTCACCACCTCCCACTCCCCCTCCCACACTCGGCCACCCTGCCTGCTCCTTACTCACATCAAGGCATCGTCTGCCACAGGCCTCCACTGGGTCTTTGCACTGGCTGTTCCCCCTGCCTGGAAGGTTGTTCCCGACACCCGCCTGGCTCCTCCTTTTTCTTCCCCATGGATTTTCTTCTTTTCTTTTTCTTTTAAAGATTTTATTTACATATTCATGAGAGAGAGAGAGAGAGAGAGAGAGAGAGAGAGGCAGAGGGAGAAGCAGGCTCCATGCAGGGAGCCCAAGGTGGGACTCGATCCCCAGATCACACTCTGAGCCAAAGGCAGATGTTCAACCGCTGAGCCACCCAGGCGTCCCCCCCACCCCACCCCGCGGTGGATTTTCTTACCTAACCTCGCAGCGAGGCCTGTCTGACCACGCTCTGTAAAATCACAGCCCCCCTCCCCTGACTTCTTAGCCCCTTTCCTGCTTTATCTTCTAGTCCTGACTGCCATCCATAGATGGTAGTATATTTTGCTTATTTGTCATTTGTCTTCCCTCGCTTGGCTGTCAGCCCCATGGGGACTGGGCATTGTGTCTGTCACTGCTGTGTCCCCAGCCAGATACACAAGCAGGCACTCACTGAGTTTCTGCTGAGAGGGCAAAGGTCACTCTGGGACCCAGAGCATGGAACTTCAAAAGGAAACAGGACCGGAGCCAGTCCTTGAATGTCGGCAGAGGATTCTAGAATAAGTCACTGGGCAGGGTCACAGCCTCCAGAGAGTTTTGGGAAGGGTCAGGCGTGGTCAGATGGCTCAGACCAGTGGATCAGGCTGGAGCCACCTCATGCCCTGCCCCCACCTTTTCTCCCTCAAATATGCACCCCTCCCCAGTCCGCCCCTCCCCCCCTCCCCTATCTGACACCCCTGCATGAGCAAGCGGCCCTGGTCCAGCTTCCCAGCCTTTGCTTTGGCTGTGCCCCGTCCTCCTCAGGCATCCATTTCCTCCTACCTCCTGCCTCCACTTTCTCCCTGCCCACCCCATGCATTCAGTGCCCAGCACCGCAACTGGCCTGGTTTCGGTGTTCACGGGTTCTCGGTTCCAAGAAGGGGAATGCTGACCAGTGTGGTTACGGGGGCCCAGAGTGAGAGGCCACTGCTCTGCTACCTTAAAGCCTGGAGGGCGAGGCTCTTCGTATTAGTTGGGGTACAGCTCTGCTGCCCCAATGGGGACACCCCAGAATAGGTAGAGTGACCTAAACCAGATTGGAGGGGAGAAGATGACCCTCAGCCCTTCAGCCCTTGCTTCCCTGTGTCTCTGCCTCCCCGCACGCAGCCCTTTTAAAGGCCCCCTAGGGCCCAGTCTCACCTCCCTGGCCGGATCTCGCTCACGTGTACTGCTGGCTGCAGAGGAGGCTGGGACGTGCGGCATCCAGCAGTTGGCTCTTCAGGATATTCAAGTGAAATCCACATACTGTTATGTGAATAGCACCTGCTTCTGGGTCCGTGGGGAACGTAGCTAGGGATGCAGTTTCTGGGTTCCAGGCAACTCTCTACTTAGCCTTCTGAGGCCAGGGCTCAAGTATTTAAAGAAAGGGGTCGAGGTGGGGGGGGAGCAGCTCCTCACTAGTTAACATCTTGCCCTGCCCTGCCGAGACCTGCCCAGAGACCTGGGTCATAGACACAGACAGCAGAGGAGAAACATCCTATTCTTCGTAGGTAGGCTTCCCTTTATATGTCAGCCAGGCCCCTAGAAGCTGGTGGGGACTCAGTCCCCAGGGGGGGCCGAGAATGGCTTCGGCGTCAGATGAAGAGACTGCCCTGGTCCTAACAGCAGATCCTCGCAGCAGCAGTGCTACCCAGAGGGTGAGACGTGTCTAAGACATGGCCTGAGGTGGACAGAGGGCCTGTGAGCAGATCCCTCATTAGCAGCATGTTTGCAGAGACACCTGTATGTGGCTTCACATCTTACTCTTCAGTGAACTGGGTGGGGCCTTCCTGCCCATTTAGGAAAAATGCCAAGGACGAAATTGCATCAGTGACACCCAGACAGGATGTGAGAACGGGCAGCTGGGGAAGTGGTTTGTGGGGCAGAGGCCTGGCCTAGCCCTGAGCCTGATGCCCTGTGGGGGCCAGTCTGGTAGGAAAGAGCTGGCAGGAAGCAGAATAGGATGCCCACACAAGGCCCCTGGCCCCAGCACGGTTGGGGGTACTCATTCCTCTCCTGACCCTGGATGCCCCCACCCCCCGTTCTAGGCCAATCTTTTCTCAGCTCGTTGTCTCTTCTCTGCAGGTGTAACAACCGCACCCAGTGCGTGGTGGTTGCTGGCTCTGATGCCTTCCCTGACCCCTGTCCTGGGACCTACAAGTACCTGGAGGTGCAGTACGACTGTGTCCCCTACAGTGAGTCATCTTGTTCCTCGTGCGCACTCGGGCCCTTCCCCTTCCTGGAAGCAAGCGAGGAGGAGACACCTTGACCTCACACACGGCCAAGTCAGGACCAGGCACAGAGGGGCAAGGAGGCCTGCTCCCTCCCTCACACATTCTCTCCTCCCCGCTCCCGACCCCCTCCCCGCCCTCTGCACAGACTCTGCACCCCAGAACACTGCTTGCTGCACTTATGGGTCCTCTGGCCCCCTGGCCCTGGTTGCCCTCCCACCTCTCTGCCTCCTCTCTTCTCACATCCCTTCCCTTCCTGACCACTCCCTTACACACCTGCTCTTCCCTCTCACTTCCCTTCTTCTCTCAACTCCCTCTCCTTTCTCTTGTCCCCCTCACCAATCACATACTCCCAGCCCTGGAACCTGACTCCAAACCCATAGGCAGATGGCCCTCTGAGGCCTGGCGGCGGATCTGGGGTGAAGGGCTAGGGGCATCTAGCACAGATACCTATCTCCTAGTTAATGTGCCCATTGCCATGATAGCACTTCCTGTCTGCAAGGGAAGTGCTGCCATGTTAGACGAGGGCAGCCCCCCCAGGAAGCCTGAGAAGGGTGATCTGGGGAGCCAGGGGTCTGGCTTTCTTGCATCTGGCCAAGGGCAGCAAACAAAGACAGGGTCTCTCCTCCTCAGCACTCTGCTCTTAACATGGCCCTTCTTTCCTGCCCTCACTGCCCCTCCCCTTCTTCCCATCATCCATTCCCCTCCTTTCCCTGCCAGCTTCATGTAGCCAACCTGGAGGTAGGGCCTCCGGGCAGATGGGGGAGGAGGCAGGGCCACCAGAGTGTCTGAGTGTGTGGGGGGGGCAGGGGCAGGGGAGCAGGAGGCCCTGTGACTCTCCCTCCTCTGCCCTCCCACCCAGCCTTCCCCCTCAACCTTCGATTTCTCCTTGCAGGTGATGGCCTACGTGCTGGGGGAAACAGGATCACTTATGTGCTTCCATAACCTTCTTTTACTCCTCACCCTTTCCTTTCAGCAGCTGAGGCCTCCAGCCGCCACCTGAGGGGGATTGCCCATCTGATCCTCGAAGCCTCCCCACAGCACTGGGGACACTGCCCACCCACCCCGTGGCGGGGGCAGCAGGAAAGGGAGGCGGGAGGCAGGGAGCACTGCACAGCAGGGAGATCAGGCTGGGTTTGAGGCTCGGCCTGGCTCTTGGATTTTCTGACTGAAACTTGAGCCAATGACTTAAACTTCTCTGAGCTGCTGCATAAGGAGGCGAGAGGCCAGGAGAGCATGCGTGTGAAGCGCCTGGCCCGGGGCTGGCTACAGAGCCCCCTCCTTGTGGCAGAATGCTGGGTGTAAACTCCCCCCAAGGGCAGAGGCTGCATCCTCACCCCCCCAGTGCCCAGACCGGAGCCTGGTTCAGGACGTGCTCAGTAATGGGGTAGGGGTGCCCTTCCAAGGGGCTTAGCCTGTGTCTTCATCTGTGATGGTGGAAGGGGGTCCCTCCCAGGGGATGGTACCAGAAGTAGAGAGGATGTGGGAAGAGCTCCTCATGCTCCCCACGCCATAGGTCTATACGAAAGAAAGTGCTGGCTTCTGCCAGCTGCACGGCCTCTGTTGTGGTGCTTCACTGTGCTGAACCTGTCTCCCTGTCTATAGAGGGTTCTGGAAAGACTGCCTGGGAAGTACCTAGCTTGATTCCTGGCACTTAGTCATTTAGGAAGCGCAAGGCACTTGGTGGTCATTGCTTTTGTTGTGACTACTTGTAGTGATTTTTACCAGTTATCACTGTTGGTAATGAAAGATAAAACTAATGATAGACGTGATCACAACTCCTTAGGTAGGAGAAGTCGAGGGCAAGAAAAACATCTGGTCCAAGTGGAGTCCAGAGCAGTTAGATACCGTGCGGGTGAAAAAGCGGGGAAAAAAGTGAGAGGGCATAGGGAGGAAAGGAGGCGTAGGGACCCCCTGAAGCTGACCCCCCGCCCCCCGAAAGTGGGCTATGGGGTGCCACCCACGGAGACCAGGATGGCCAGGGGATGGGCAGCCCCAGTCATCCCCGAGAGAGCTCCAGAGAGCTAGCTTGAGCCCCCGGGGGGGGGCAGGACACAGTGATCGTGTCTGGGACACAGTTGGGGCCATGGGTGCCCTCAACAGGCAGAACCCAGGGGTGCTGCTCCTGGTTCCAAGGGTGATGGGAGCCAGAGTACAGGGAGGTGGGGCACTCACTTGTCCCCCACTATTCATGTTTGCTGAGCACTTCCTGGGTGCCAGGCCCTGGATGAGGCGCTGGGAAGGAAGCCAACTCTCCCCTGTGGAACTCCCTGCTTGTGCCTCCAGAGAGGTGGCAGGAGAGCAAGGGCCTGGTCAGAGGGTCCTGAGGGGCCAGGGACACAGAGCCTGACAGGGGAGCAGCCTGGGCTGCCGTCCTGCCCTGGGCTTCAGAGGCTGGGGTGACCCCAGTGCTGGTGCGGGCGAATCAGGGGCAGGTGCAGGGGCTCACCATGGGGCGGGGGCAGTGGGTGTGTGGGACTCCCACCCGCACACACCCACAGACACACACACACCCAGACAGGCCCGACTAACGCTGGATTTGCCTTGCAGCTGAGCACATTCTAACCGAGCCCCCTTCCTCCCCTAGGTTGCTCCCAACCATCGGGCAGCAGGCAGGGAGCTCCTGGCTCCTGGGGCCCCCTGGGGAGGGGGGTGCTGGGCAGACAGACCGAGCCATGGGCTTGCCCCGGGGGAGCGTGGGAGTGTGGGAGCGTGTCTGTGCCCCCACCTGCTGTCTGTGACGTCCGCCCCCCCAGCCTCTTCCTTCTCTGCCTCTGTCTCCCCCCGGCTCTCCGAGGCCCAGGGGCTCTGCCTGTCTGCCTCTCCGTCATTCTGTGTTCCACTCTGCACCCTCTCTCTCTGTGTTGGCTTTTTCTGGGACATGAGGGCTTGGGGGAACCCAGCTGGACTCTAGCAAGGCCAGCACAGAAAGGGAAGGAGTTCAGCATGTTCTCTCAGTGGGGGCACCCAGGCCCCTGGAGCCACTGAACCCCCTCCCCCTGGGCCCCTGGTTCTCACAGGAGGGCAGCAGGTGGGTTGTGCGGTGGGGGGACCCGCGTGGCTCTTCCACCCTCACCACTCCCTCCCTGGTGCTCCCCTAGGCAGAGCCCACCTTCCAGCTGGAGCCCCCCCCAACACCCACTGCACTGAGGGTGCCCCCCCCCAGGGTGCTGTCCCCTGCCTGTCTGTACACCCCACCCCCGTGTCTCTCTTGGTCTCTGTCCTCCGTGTGTCCCCCTCCCTGTGACTGTCTCCCCGACACCCTCCCCAGAGGAAGGGACCTGGGGGCGGGGGCTGAGCTGATGCTACGTTTGGGGTTGGGGAGCCAGGATGAGGAAAGAAAGGAAAAGGGGGCATGTTGCCAGATAAGAAACGAAAGCAATTTAATCTTTTTTTTCTCTTTTTTTTCTTGCACATTTTTTTTCAATTTGTTTTCTCTCTCTCTTCCGATGCTTAAAGTAGAAGTGGAGCAGAAAGGTAAACGCACTGTTACCAATGCTAACCCCTAACTCACACTTTGTTCTTACCTGTACCATACTTATGTGACCCGCCCTCCCCTCTCGGCCCCTGTTTCTCCCCACCCCCACCCCGGGTGTCCTCCCGGTGGGGCCAGCCCTGGTGCCACCCCGGGCAACTCCACCCTCCAGACACCCGAGGAGGCTCCTCTCTGAGCACGGGCAGGACCTTCTCTCTCTCTCTCTCTCTCTCTCTCTCTCTCTCTGCCTCTTTATCTCTCTCTGTCTCTCCCTGTCCCTCCTTCCTAGTCCCAGCCCTTGCGGGGGGACCTTCTCTCATACTTGTTTTGCCTCCTTCAGGAGAAGTGTGTAAGCATCCAGGGCGGGAGGGGAGGGAGGGCCCCCTCTCTGGCTCCTGCCTTGGGGCGGAGTGCACCGGTGAGCCGTCTTTCTCCTCTTCTTCCCCAACTTTTATACCACATGTCTGGCTCAGGGGAGGTGGGGTGGAGGGGACACCTTTGTTTTCCTTTTGGGGAGCAGATTCCTTCTATCTCTCGGGCTCCTGGTGGCATAAGTTCCTTCTGGTTTGGCGTTTCCAAGGCCCAGAGCTGTTGGAGCACGGAGCACCAGTTTTCCCCACCCTCCACCCCCCTCCTTGACCAGCCGGGGGCCCAGCCCTGGGGAGGGATGCAAAGCTGTCCCCGGCCCTGGGAGGGCGGCCTGCCAGACTGGGGGCGAAGGGGCGGGGGTGGGCCTCACGGCGGGGGAGCGCGGGGTGGGGGAACGTTTTCTCTGGTTCTGTAACACTTGCGAAGCTGCAGTCAGGGTTTCTTCTGGGCTGTTTTGGTTAGAGGACCAGGGAGAGGGGGGTTGGGGGAGGTATAGGCTGGGTCTGGGGACTTCCAGGAGCACCGTAATTTCTTGCAGGGTTAACCTTGGGCGGGGGTGGGGAATGAGAAAACTCCATGGTGGGTGGATGATCCAGCCTACCCCTGAAATTTTGGGGAAATTGACAGCTCTGAGGCTGGCCAAGGGGCAGGGCCCCTGATGAGCCATCCTTGCAGGATCGCTCTTGCCTTGAAATTACGGTGGTCTTTGGAGCATCCCCTTCGAGGAAGGTGGGGCGGGGTCCCTCCAAGCTGCTCCCCTCCCCCTGCCCTCCCTCATCTCAGAGAGGCCTGGGCAGCCAGCCCAGGCCCCCCACCCTCACTGCCCCGCCACTCTCTCCCTCTCTCTCTCCCTGAGTCTCTCGCACCCAGCACCAGACACTCTTCTTACAGGCCCGGTGGTGGTTTGGATACTGCAGCCCTGGATCTTTTCTCTTCAAAGGGGGGGGAAGAGGGGAGGGAAGAGGAGGTGTTGGGAGCTTGGTGCTGGGGAGGGGTCCTTACTGTCAAAGGCCCCAGGCAGACCCTTCCTCATCTTCTCCCCCTTCCCCAGGGTAACCTCTAACCACGTTTTCCTCCTCCATACCCTTCTGACCAGGTCAGGCTCTGAGACCTCCCACCGCCCCCTCACACACACGTATCTGCTCAGGGGCCACAGAACTGGCAGGGGTCCTGGCTTGGGGAGAGGGGAGACCGGGGCATAGAAGATAAAGGCAGAGGCCAGGTGTGCTGGGCACAGGGTGCAGGCCAACCCCTCAGGGCACTGGGGACAGGGAGATAGCGGAGCCCCAGGATGCAAGCCAGGATCCCTCTGGTTCCTGCTCACTTCTGGGCCCCAGGCTCCCCACCCCGTCCTAATACACTGTGCGCTCCTGGCCGCTTTGCACACTGGGGCCCTTGGGCCTAGCTGTCCCTGATGCTGTGAAGGGAGGGCTGGATATCCCCCACCTAAGCCTGTCAAAGAGTGAGGCTGGAAGTGCGGGAATGAGGAGTGGTGCCTGTCCATGACCCTCTTGCCACTGGGGCTGACCTCCGCCAAGCCCACACTAGGTCCCAGCCCTCCCTGATCCCCTTGGGGCCAGCTGCTTTGGTGACCGGCCAAGCAGGAGCAGAGAATTCACTGCAAACCCTCACCCTGGCCTGTCTGTGGGTTCAGCTAGCGGGGAGGTGAGAGGGAAGCCCAGCCATCCTGGATGGAGGGGTATCTGGACATCACCACTCCCAAGTCCAGGCCCCTACTGGGTCCATAAGGGGAGGCTAGGCACAGGTGGCACTGGGATGTGACGGGGCAAGGGTGGGCAGGCCAGCGGCGGCCAACGAGATGCAGTTGAGGTTTTCCTCCTTTTCAGGGAATGGGGGGGTGGGGCGGGGCCCCCCACCTTTCTGACATCAGCGCTGCCTTGGTCCCTCCTCCCGAGCCGGGGATGGTTGCAGGTAAATCGGGGTCCGGGGCAGGGGAGGCGGGGGGCCTGGCTGGGGCGGGCTGGGTCTTTATCCTAGCTCCTGGTTCCCTCCCTTGCCCCCTCTGAGCTGGACCTGGGACTGCCCCCCCGAGGGACCCTCAGTCGGGCCTGGGCCTTGGAGTGAATTCTCTGCTCACCCCTCTCTCCTCGCCAGCACTAACCCTTTCTTCCCAGGTGGTCTCCAGCGTGCCTCCCTTGGAGCCAGGACCTCGCCGAGGCCCCCCACCTTGTCTCTCTTCCCTCCACGCAGCTCTCCTCCCCCAATCCCCAACTCTCCCGGGGAGCCCTCTCCTTTCCCATGTCCCCCAATTTCCCCCCACCCCTGTGCACCAGTGTCAGTGTCTGCTGCTGAACAGACCCCATGAGAGACCTTGCCGGCTGGGGGCAGGGCTGGGCACCCTCAGAGAGGGGCTGGACTTTTCCAGAGACCCTCCCTCACCTACTGATTGCATGGGTACTGGGTATGGGAGGGCCACAGGCTGCATCAGGGACCTTGAGTGCTCCTCCACCCTGGAATAGGGGGGCACTCCTGACACCCATAGTGGGTACGGAAACATCACTCTACCTTGCAATTTTTGCAGGGGGAGGGGGGAGGAAACAAATGTGCCACAAACCTGTGTCCTGGTGTTGTTGGTGAAAGATGGGACCCTCAACTGTAGGTCTTCCATAGAGGGCTGTGACAGATGGCAAAGGAGCAGGGCACTGAGTCCCTGGAGCCTCAAAGCCATGAGTGGCAGCAGTGAGGAGATCTTTCCGCCCCCACTTAAGGCACATGAGGAAGTCTGGGAGGGCTATTGCCAAACCCTTTATCCCCAGCCTGTGGGGTCTCTAGCAGCCAGGGAAGGAAAGAGGGGCACCACCTCCCCACCCCCACTAACCCTGCTCTTAATGGCCTCCAGGGTTGACATCTCCAGGGAGAGGGGCAGCTGGGCAGGGCAGGGGTCCCAGCCCGGAAACCCCCTTCCCATCACCAGCCCTACCAAGCAACCGTGACTGCAGCAGCAGGAGGGGACAGCCTGGCTACCCCAGGCCGCGTGACCAACTTGCCTCTCTCTCTCCCCCTCCCCTGCCTCTGCTCCTCCTCTCCCCATGTCCTCCCCGCCCACCCGCCCGGCCCAGTCTTCGTGTGCCCAGGGACCCTGCAGAAGGTGCTGGAGCCCACTTCCACACACGAGTCGGAACACCAGTCTGGCGCATGGTGCAAGGACCCACTGCAGGCAGGCGACCGTATCTACGTCATGCCCTGGATCCCCTACCGCACGGACACGCTGACTGAGTACGCCTCGTGGGAGGACTACGTGGCCGCACGCCACACCACCACCTACCGCCTGCCCAACCGCGTGGATGGCACGGGCTTCGTGGTCTACGACGGTGCGGTCTTCTACAACAAGGAGCGCACACGCAACATCGTCAAGTACGATCTGCGCACACGCATCAAGAGCGGGGAGACGGTCATCAACACGGCCAACTACCACGACACTTCGCCCTACCGCTGGGGCGGCAAGACGGACATCGACCTGGCTGTGGATGAGAACGGGCTGTGGGTCATCTACGCCACCGAGGGCAACAACGGGCGCCTGGTGGTGAGCCAGCTCAACCCCTACACGCTGCGCTTCGAGGGCACGTGGGAGACGGGCTACGACAAGCGCTCAGCGTCCAATGCCTTCATGGTGTGCGGAGTCCTGTATGTGCTGCGCTCAGTGTACGTGGACGACGACAGCGAGGCGGCCGGCAACCGCGTGGACTATGCCTTCAACACCAATGCCAACCGTGAGGAGCCCGTCAGCCTGGCCTTCCCCAACCCCTACCAGTTTGTCTCCTCCGTGGACTACAACCCTCGCGACAACCAGCTCTATGTCTGGAACAACTATTTTGTGGTGCGCTACAGCCTGGAGTTCGGGCCGCCCGACCCCAGTGCCGGTAGGGATGGCTCCCCCCAACTCCACCTCCTGGGCCCCCGGGGTGCCAGTGGGGAGGCATGCTGTGCACCCAGAGCTGGGATCTGGAGGACAGAGGTTTGCAGCGTGGGACAGAGGCTGGGCTAAGCGTTTCACAGTTAACTTGTTTGGCTGTCACAGTTTATGAGGCAGGGAGCACTACTGCTGTTTTACAGGTGAAGAAACTGCAACCCTGGGAGGGCCGGGGAGGGGAGAGGTTAGGTTAGTTCTTAGACAACCTGGACCCAGGACTCTGCGCTCCTGACTGCTAGGTTCCAGCGCCCCTCTTTGGGGCCTGTGCACTTCTAGCCCTGGAGCCCTCATCAGCCAGAACCCAGGTGGAAGCCCCGTGTTAGTGAAACAACAAAGCCGAGCCACCAGTATTGAGCGTGAGCGTCCCTCTGCAGTCTCTGTTCGCCCTCTCAGCTGCCCTCTGCCAGCTCTGAGCAGCCCCAGGGCGCTGAGGAGCCTGACCCCATCCAACCTCATTTACATAATAGGGAACTAAGGCCTGCACAGGGAAGGGACTTGGCCAGGTTATAGGGACCAAAGTGAGAGTAGAATGAGGACAGGAGGTGGCTGTCCACCTCCCCTTCCTGGCCTGTTCTCTTTGGTTACTCTCAGACCTCAGGCTACACTCAAGTGAATTTTTATTGCTTTTTGATGCTTTAGATGGTCTTGGGAGCAGAGAGAAGCCAGGGGAGATCTCCCAGACCCAGTGGGGACCAGCATATCCTCCCACATTGGGAAAGATGCTAGAATGCCAGGGACCCCAAGCCTGGGCACACCATGGCAGGGCCCTGAGCATGGGGTGACCCTGTCTTGTATACCCTCTTCCCTTCCAGGCCCAGCCACTTCCCCGCCTCTCAGCACGACCACCACAGCCCGACCCACACCCCTTACCAGCACGGCCTCCCCCGCAGCCACCACTCCGCTCCGCCGAGTGCCCCTCACCACACACCCTGTGGGTGCCATCAACCAGCTGGGACCTGACCTGCCTCCAGCCACAGCCCCAGCTCCCAGCACCCGGCGGCCCCCAGCCCCCAATCTGCACGTGTCCCCAGAACTCTTCTGTGAACCTCGAGAGGTGCGGCGGGTCCAATGGCCAGCCACTCAGCAGGGCATGCTGGTTGAGAGGCCCTGCCCCAAGGGGACTCGAGGTGAGTACAGAGGCTGCTGTCACCTCACTGTGGCTGGCTTAGGGAGTGGCTAAACCTGGTCTGGCCAGGGAACATCCCACCACTCAGTTTAGCCCATCTCCTCTGCCAGTGTGGGGGCTTTCTGAGGGCAGGGGTTGTGCCTGACATCTGCAGCTGTGTTCTCAGAGCCCAGCAGAGCTCTCAGGGCACAGGAGCAGCTCAATGAGTCCCCCTGCCCTGTCCTCTCTTGCAGTGCCAGGCAGACTATGAAGGGAGCCCACAGGAAGTGACCTGGGCCCCCAGCCTCAGGCTGAGATGGAATAGGCCCCCAGTCAGCCAGTGGCCCTACAGAGAGCAACTGAAGTGCCAGAGGGGGTGGGGCCAGGCCTTGTGCTCCAGGTGGAATGATCCAAGGGGAGGGTTTGAAGAGGCTTAAGGGAGAAGGGGCTTCCAAGATGGACTTTGCTAGAAAGTTCCATTTCTGGTAGGCAAAGAAGGAAGAGGAGCCAAGAGGGGGAGCTTAGAAGTGAGGGGTAGCTCATGTCACCTCAGAGTGACACCTCTCTTGACTGTCCGGCCCTCTTCATGTCTGGTCTTCTGTGTTTCCTTCATCTCTCTCTTCACCTGCCTGTTCCCCTCTCTGTTATCTTTCCCTGCTGTGGCCCCTTTTTCTCTCCTTCCCTGTGGCTCCCTTCTCTGTTCCTGTCTGTCCCTGCAGGAATTGCCTCCTTCCAGTGTCTACCAGCCCTGGGGCTCTGGAACCCCCGGGGCCCTGACCTCAGCAACTGCACCTCCCCCTGGGTCAACCAGGTGGCCCAGAAGGTACCAGCAGCAGCTGTCCCTCCCAGATTGGCACAATTGCTTGCACACTGGGCCCTGGGTGGCCGGGCACAAGGCACTCTGGGGGCAGTAGAGCAATTGGGGAGACAGACGGGCAGGTCTGGGAGCCAGGACTGTGCGGGTCCCCTCCCTGGCCTTCAAGAGAAACAGAGATGGATGGGGAGGGAGAAGGGGTCAGGGAGATGGATGGGAAGGGGCCAAACAGCCTGGGAATGTGAAAAGAGAGCATGTGGGAAGGAAGATGGTCTCTGAGATAGCGGGGGGCCCTTCCTCCCACCTCACGCAGATCAAGAGTGGGGAGAATGCAGCCAACATTGCCAGTGAGCTGGCCCGTCACACCCGAGGCTCCATCTATGCGGGTGATGTGTCCTCTTCTGTGAAGCTGATGGAGCAGCTGCTGGATATTCTGGATGCCCAGCTACAGGCCTTGCGGCCCATTGAGCGCGAGTCAGCTGGCAAGAACTACAACAAGGTGGGGCACGGCAGTAGGACCAGCAGGGTTGGGGGGCACTGCCCTTGGGGCTCAGGAAGAGTCCAGCCTGGTACCTCCAGGCTAGGCTGCCAAGCCAGGCGGTCAGAGAGAAGACTGATCCTAGGCACGCTGGATCTTCCAGAGCTGCCCTGGACGGTCTTTGGGGTTGGCGTCCCTTAAGAACAGGTCTTGTTCAGGGCCCAGCCCTGGTGTGGTGACAGCTGCAGAAGAGCACGCTCTCCAGGGCTCAGACGTGACAGTGTTGGCTTTAGGGGCCCTGACAGCACCTCCATTTCTTTTCCCAGATGCACAAGCGGGAGAGAACTTGCAAAGACTACATCAAGGTGAGGCCCAGAGGGTTCCTGCTGGCCAACGAGGGGGTGAGGCAGCCCTCATCACTTGGGCACGTCCCAGGCGGCACTGGGGATGGAGATTGAGAGGAGAGTATGCAGAATCAGTCCAGCCCAGGGAACTGGAGGATGTGGGGGGAATCACAGTGTCACCCCTCGCCTGTGCAGGCTGTGGTAGAGACAGTGGACAACCTCCTGCGGCCAGAGGCTCTGGAGTCCTGGAAGGACATGAATGCCACAGAGCAGGTGCACACAGCCACCATGCTCTTGGATGTCCTGGAGGAGGGTGCCTTCCTGCTGGCCGACAATGTCAGGGAGCCTGCCCGCTTCCTGGCTGCCAAACAGAATGTGGGTGAGTCCTGCGGTCATGCCCACGGCAAGTTCAGGTGTTGATCCCCCCCCCCCAGCTGTTTATTTGAGAGAGAAATCTCAACTGAGCACTTGCATGAGTGGGAGGAGAGGGAGAGAATCTCAAGCAGATTCCACGCTGATCACAGAGCCTGATGCAGGGCTCAGTCTCAAAACCCTGAGATCATGATGTGGTGCAAATCTTGAACTGTGGGGCCTGCCAGCCAGAGATGCCCTAGCCTCAGGCCTCTTGCCATGGCTGGGCCCCTGGACTGGGGACAGGCCCCAACCACATCTGTCTTGCCATCCCCTGTCCCCACAGTCCTGGAAGTGACAGTCCTCAACACGGAGGGCCAAGTGCAGGAGCTGGTATTCCCCCAGGAATACCCAAGCGAGAACTCCATCCAGCTGTCCGCCAATACCATCAAGCAGAACAGCCGCAACGGTCAGTGTCCAAGCCCCGGGCTGGCATCCCTGCTTCACCTATGAAGAACATTCATTCTTAAATTGTATTGGGTTGAAGAATCCAAGAAAAGGGTGGGACCCAAAAAGAGTTGTTCTCCACTCAAGCTACCGTAACATTTCAGGGGATTTGTGGGGCATCCCCAAAACCCCAGAACGTAGGACACTTTGTAGTTTGCAGGGTTTACTCCTGTGCAATGGCAGTCGATTCCCATAGCTCAGGGAGATCTGTCCCATTTGAGACTAAGGCTCAGAGATGTAGGGGATCTGCTCAAGGTCACACAGCAAGTGAGGTGGGGGCTGGGGATGCAGTCCCTATGTGTCCTGGCATACTGCCTGGCCATTTGGAACTGCCTACAACTAAGCCATGGTACATGGAGGGGCTCCACAAGTCCCCCTCACCTGGGCCCATAGCCTGGCTTCAGAGGTACCAGTGGCCAGTGTGGCCGGAGGCGTGCTGGCTCAGGACTGACCACATACCCCACTGTGCCTGTCCTCTCCAGGTGTGGTCAAAGTTGTCTTCATCCTGTACAACAATCTAGGCCTCTTCTTGTCCACTGAGAATGCCACAGTAAAGCTGGCAGGTGAAGCAGGTACAGGTGGCCCAGGTGGCGCCTCCCTGGTGGTGAACTCACAGGTCATCGCGGCGTCCATCAACAAGGAGTCCAGTCGCGTCTTTCTCATGGACCCTGTCATCTTCACCGTGGCCCACCTGGAGGTGAGCTGAGGTGTTCCCTCCTTCCCCCCTCGGGAGTCCCACCATCTTCCGTGTTCCCAGGCTGTATATTCTCCCTGCTGTGTGTTCATCCACTCCAAGAGCAAGTTATGACCCCTCCCTGGGGCACCAGTCCCCCAACCCCCACCTCAACAGCTTGGGCCATTTGTTCCCAGAGATCCCAGACTGTCATCTGGAGCCCCAGGCACTTTTCTCATGCTTGTCACCATCCCCATAGCTGGGTGTGGGGGCTGGAACGGGACTCCCTGGATCTGACTGCCCGGCCACCACCACACAACAGGCCAAGAACCACTTCAATGCTAACTGCTCCTTCTGGAACTACTCGGAGCGTTCCATGCTGGGCTACTGGTCAACCCAGGGCTGCCGCCTGGTGGAGTCCAACAAGACCCATACCACGTGTGCCTGCAGCCACCTCACCAACTTTGCCGTGCTAATGGCTCACCGTGAGATCGTAAGCTGGCCAGCACTCCGCTCCTCTGGGCAGGCCCACTTGCTGGCCTGGCTTTGCATGGCATCACAGCGCTGCATGGGCAGTGCCAGGGAAGACCAGCTTCATGGGAATTGGGGGGTGGCACCAGTCTTGCCCGGGGCATGAGGCCACATGTCTGGTTCTTTTTTGGTCATGGTCCCACCTTCTCCCAAGGCACTCTGGAGAAGCAAGTTGGTGTCACCTTTGTCATCTCTCCACAAGCCTTCCAGAGCATGAGGAAGTGAGCGTGCCACCTGCAGAAGGGTGGGGGCCAGCAAACTGGGGGGCAGAAGGCCAGATGGGCAACACTGGTGGTGCTCGTGGCCTGTGGCCCTGCCCGTCCCTAGCACCTGGCTGAGCCTGGCCATGTGCAAGGCTAGAGGTGCTGAGCAAGCTCCCCGCTCCTGTCCCCCAGTACCAAGGTCGCATCAATGAGCTGCTGCTGTCAGTCATCACCTGGGTGGGCATCGTGATCTCCCTCGTCTGCCTGGCCATCTGCATCTCTACTTTCTGCTTCTTGCGGGGGTTACAGACCGACCGCAATACCATCCACAAGAACCTGTGCATCAACCTATTTCTGGCTGAGCTGCTCTTCCTGGTCGGGATAGACAAGACACAGTATGAGGTGGGCCGGGACTCGGGCAGAGGCAGGTAGGAGAGGTGGCACTGGCCCAGGCAGCCCCTCACCTGTGGTGCCCCTCCCTGCTGCCCCCAGATTGCCTGCCCTATCTTCGCTGGCTTGCTGCACTACTTCTTCCTGGCTGCCTTCTCCTGGCTGTGCTTGGAGGGTGTGCACCTCTACCTGCTGCTGGTCGAAGTGTTTGAGAGCGAGTACTCCCGCACTAAGTACTACTACCTGGGTGGCTATTGCTTCCCAGCCCTGGTGGTAGGCATCGCAGCAGCCATCGACTACCGCAGCTATGGCACCGAGAAGGCGTGAGTGCCCCCCCACCCATTCTCCAGGTCTCTCCTCCTGCCTGGCCCCCTGCTCAGCAGAATCCCTTGGGCCAGGACCCTAGGCACTGGCCTTCCTCCTCCTGAGATCGAAGGCTACAGTCTGCAGGGTCCCTGGGGGCTAGGATGGGAGGGAAGGGCTTTCCCGCCTCTGTCTCCCCAAGCCCTGCTTTCTTTATAGCTGCTGGCTCCGAGTCGACAATTACTTTATCTGGAGCTTCATTGGACCAGTCTCCTTTGTTATCGTGGTAAGTGGGAAGGTGGTACCTCTAGTTCTATATCTCCTTCCTTCACACAAGCTAGCCTTGACCCGGAGCCCTGCCCCATTCTCCCCAAGCCCTGAGAGGGCTGGTGTGAAAACCATCGAAACGGAGCAGCTAACTAAGAAGACAAGAACGCAGCGGGTCTGTAAAGCTCCGGCACCAAGGCCTGTCCATCTAGGAACTGTGATTTGAGCCCCTGCCTTGTGTCAGGCTACAGGCCCTGTCCTCTCGCCACTAGGAGCCACATTAACAGACAGTTGTTACCAGTCAGCAGGCACCTGAGGGCAGGTACAACAGCAGAGGAGGCCCTGAAGAAGGGGGCATTGAGGCTGAGACTTGGCCAGGAGCTCACTCTGGGAGGTGGAGGGACCCCAAGGGACCTCCCGCAGCCTAGCCTCTCTCTGTCCCTCCCCCCCAGGTGAACCTGGTGTTCCTCATGGTGACCCTGCACAAGATGATCCGGAGCTCATCTGTGCTCAAGCCTGACTCCAGTCGCCTGGACAACATTAAGTGAGCACCCCTTCCCCACACCCCCGCCTGATAGCTCCATCCATACCAGGCCTGGTCTCTCCCAGGGCTTCCTAAAATGTGATGCACTCACCTCCAGTACCACAAGATGATTTTTAAGGACAAATGTGTTTTTATTGTGCTTGTTCGTGTACTTAACAAGTATTAGAAAACAAATTAACATATCCAATCTGTGCTTTGGGGGACATAACTGCTTAGGGCGAGGCCAAGTTAAAAAGGTAAGTCCGATTCAGGGCAACTTAAAGAGAAATAAGCAGCAAAAGGTAGTTTAAGGATCTGGAAATTCGGCCCAAGGCTGAAGGCAAATGACTGACCTTTGCAAAACCCCAAACCCCAACCTCATGCCCAGGCTGGGTCAAAGTACCACTGTAGGTGATCCGCCCAAGGCCTGTTTCTTTGCCAACAGCATCCAGACCCCTCTGAAGAGGGACACAGCAGGGCAGAGAGGTTTGTCCACTGGCAGGGACTTTGACATCCCTGTCCTCTCTCCCCTCCCCAGATCCTGGGCCTTGGGGGCCATTGCGCTGCTTTTCCTCCTGGGCCTCACCTGGGCTTTTGGCCTGCTCTTCATCAATAAGGAGTCAGTGGTCATGGCCTATCTCTTCACCACTTTCAACGCCTTCCAGGGGGTCTTCATCTTTGTCTTTCACTGCGCCTTACAAAAGAAGGTGAGGTCAGGAAAGGGGTCCAAGTGCCTGCTGTCTGCAGTGGAGTCTGTCTGCTGTGAGGGGAGCATGAACTTGGAGTCAGGGAGGACTTAAGCAGGGGTGAAGAGGGTTCTGGAAAAGAGCAAGATATAACAACCTGGGGAAGCCAGAAAACAGGGCGGATTTGGGGAGCTGGGAGAGCAGGGTTGTGGTAGCAGAGGACCAACCCCCCACCCACCCACCTATGATATGGGGGCACCAGTCAGGTGTGTGGGAAGGAGAGAACTGAGTATCACCCAGACAGAAGGCTTCCACTTCAATAGTTACGAGATAAACTGTAAGTTTTGTGGTGATAAAGTTTCCTTTTTAGCATCCTTACTGGAGCCCACAAGCTCACACAACCCTACCCGGGCCCCTTCCCTTTCTCCCCTTCAGCCATCCTCTCCTCTGCTTTCTCTCGAACAACTAGATAAGACCATCCTCAGGGCATATTCCTGCTCCTCTCTCTACGAGGTCTCCTATCCTCCTATCTGATTTACTTCAGATCTTTGCCAAGATGTTTCCTCAATGAGGCTTCCCGGTTTATTTAAGATCACAACCCCACCCCCAAACACACACACATCCCCACCCACCAACACTGCCTAACCCCATTCCTGGCCACATTGGTCTGCACAGCACCTGACAGCATCAGACAACCTACACAATGGGATCTTGTTTGTATCTACACATCTCTGTCTACCAAAATAGTAGTTTTCAGAGGTAGGGCTGTGTGAATGACTTGTTCTGTATCGTCCCTGGGGCCTTAACTATGCCTGGCACATAGCAGATGCTCATTAAAGACCTGTTGAGTGAATGAACAAGAAAGTGACATGGATGTAGAGAAATGGGGTTGGGCCTGAGCAAGCAGAGTGCCTGCCTGACCGGCTGGCTGTTGTGAGACAGGAAACGACGAGGTTTCTGAGGCTTGCAGGGGCACCCACTGCCAGCTGCCTGTCCTCCTCCTCCCCCAGGTGCACAAGGAGTACAGCAAGTGCCTGCGTCACTCCTACTGCTGCATCCGCTCCCCACCCGGGGGCGCTCATGGCTCACTCAAGACCTCAGCCATGCGGAGCAACACCCGCTACTACACGGGGACCCAGGTACCTAGGCAGGGGCCAGGGCACCGAGCAGGGCTCCCTGGGGCTGAGTACTGGACCCCAGGGCCTAGGAGACAGGGCAGCGCTCAGCCCAGGCCCAGCCCAGGTCTCAGAAAGATCCTGGAGGGTGGGCAGCCCAGGGGTGGGGGGCTCACATCCAGGCTGTGTCTCCAGAGCCGAATCCGGAGGATGTGGAACGACACCGTGAGGAAACAGACGGAGTCCTCCTTCATGGCAGGTGACATCAACAGCACCCCCACTCTGAACCGAGGTGAGATCACGTCCCTTTGCTCTTGGCTCTATCCCTCAGGCTTCCTGGGCCAGTGTCTCTGGGCCACTTTGTGACCTCTGATGTTCTGGACAGGTACCATGGGGAACCACCTGCTGACCAACCCCGTGCTGCAGCCCCGTGGGGGCACCAGCCCCTACAACACCCTCATCGCTGAGTCAGTGGGCTTCAATCCCTCCTCGCCCCCTGTCTTCAACTCCCCAGGTGAGCGCACTCTAGTACAGGAAGATGACAACAGCCCGGTCAGGGAGTGTGGTGAGGTCTGCATCCTGACAGTCTCTGCTTGGGGCATCCTATTACTTCCTGAATTGGAAACTGGGCTTGACTTTCCAAGCACACTCTCACTTTCTCTCTCTTCCCTCCTGGCCTGCACCAACAGGGAGCTACCGGGAACCCAGTAAGTGTGACTTGCGGGTAATATTTCTGAGGCAGGGAAGGGAATGTGATAATGGCCTCCTGGGATGACCGCACTCAGGGAGAATTCAGGTGCCCCCTCCTCCCAACCCCCCCCCCCACATACAGCTAGAGGGGGTTATGTTTGGCCCTCAGGTAGGCAATGAAGGTGATGAGGGTCAGAGCACAGGAAATGGAACCTGGTCACTAGGCCTCCTCACTGCTGAGATTCTGAGCCTCCCAGCTGAGAGGAGACCTAGGGGGAACTGGTGTGTGTCCCCACTTCCCACCCCCATTCCACCAACTTGATATTGGGCTGGTGTCCCCAATGCCAATGAGGAAGAATGGGAATAGGAGATCCCAGCCCCGGGGGAAGCTCCCCATGTGCCTGTGCCCATGCCCCTGTCGCTTCCCAGCCTCCTCCTGAGCCAGCCCTCTTTTGCCGGCAGAGCACCCTCTAGGAGGCCGGGAAGCCTGCGGCATGGACACATTGCCCCTCAACGGCAACTTCAACAACAGTTACTCCTTGCGAAGTGGGGATTTCCCTCCAGGAGACGGGGCCTCTGAGCCACCCCGAGGCCGGAACCTGGCCGATGCTGCTGCTTTCGAGAAGATGATCATCTCAGAGCTGGTACACAACAACCTGCGGGGCAGCAGCAGTGGGGCCAAGGGCCCCCCACCACCCGAACCCCCTGTGCCACCTGTGCCAGGGGGCGGTGGGGAGGAAGAAGCAGGCGGGCCCGGGGGTGCTGACCGGGCAGAGATCGAACTTCTCTACAAGGCCCTGGAGGAGCCGCTGCTGCTGCCCCGGGCCCAGTCGGTGCTGTACCAGAGTGATCTGGATGAGTCGGAGAGCTGCACTGCGGAGGATGGGGCCACCAGCCGGCCCCTCTCCTCCCCTCCAGGCCGGGACTCCCTCTACGCCAGCGGGGCCAACCTGCGGGACTCGCCCTCCTACCCGGACAGCAGCCCCGAGGGGCCCAGTGAGGCCCTGCCCCCACCCCCGCCTGCGCCCCCTGGCCCCCCTGAAATCTACTACACCTCGCGCCCACCAGCCCTAGTGGCCCGGAACCCCCTGCAGGGCTACTATCAGGTGCGGCGGCCCAGCCACGAGGGCTACCTGGCAGCCCCGGGCCTTGAGGGGCCAGGGCCCGATGGGGATGGGCAGATGCAGCTGGTCACCAGTCTCTGAAGGACCTCATGGACCAGGGGCTGGTGGCTCAGGCCGGGGAGGGAACCCTGGGTGGGGCTCTGGTGGGAGAGGGAGACTCATGGAGGCAGTGGCTGGTGGGCCACTCTCTCCAGGTGCCCGTCAGCCATGGGCCCTCTAGGCCCCTCAGGAGCTCTGCCGTGGGGGCCTGTGGTGCAGGGTTCACAGACAGGGTTTCCTACCAGCCACACGCACCAGCTCGATTTGGGGGGAAGTGCAGTAAGGAGGAGCCAAGAGGTCCCCCAAGGGAGTAAGGAAGGAGAAATTGGATGGGTGCAGCCCACTCTTTACTTCCCCCCCTCTCCCCCACTTTCCTGACCCCTGGAGGGAAATGAGGGCTTTGGTTTCCCTGGGCCAAGGGCCCTACTGAGTGGAACCTGTCAGCTGCTCCTCTCTCTGCAGCTGGAAGTGCTGCCAGCTACAACAGGAAGGAGCAGTGGGAGCAGACAGACAGGTCCTCCTGGAAGACAGTTCCCTGCTCCTGGAGACTGGGGCCTCTGGCCCAAGAGAAAGCCCCAGGGCAAGAGGAATGGGCGGTTGTGGCTGCTGGTTTAAAGGTGGAACTTTCTTTGAAGCTCCTTCCCTCTGCTCTTCGTCCTTGCCTCCCTAGCAAGCCTGCCCATCAGCCTCCTCAAGTGCACCCAGTGACCCCCTCCCTTGGGGTGACTCCTGATGAAGCACAACTCCCCACAGGGCCCCCAGCCCACAGGGGTGGCCATATCTGGGCAGTTCCCAGTCCTGTGGGCTCGGCTATCTGGGGAGCAGATTTTGGGTCTGGATATCCCTGGGGAGTGGGTCCTGGGCTTGGATCTTTCCCTAGGGGGCCATCTTACCCCTTCCTCTCTTCTCCTCCTCCCCCATTGCTGTAAATATTTCAACGAAATGGAAAAGAAAAAAAAAAGACAAAAAAAAAAAAAAAGAAAGAAAGAAAATCTCATCACTTGAAGCCACCGGGAGCCTGTGGCCAGCCAGCCCGGGGCTTTCTCCGGAGCAGAGTGGCGCCGCTGGGCCCTGGCAGCCAGGACTTCTCTGTGTTTGTGTGCATCCCCAGCCGGGGTGGGCGGGCCGCCAGAGCAGCTTTTTACGATCCAGAGACAGAAAACAAAATCTAGAAGCAACAGCGAAACAAAGAACCTGTTTCCTTCCCGGCACCGTTTCTGTCGCCTCTTTCCCTGCTCCGCCTGTTCCCTGGCATCAGTCAGCCTCCTGGGGCGCGTACCTCACTGCCTGCCCCAGGACTGGGGCTTGTCTCCCCCCTCCCCTCCCCACTGGCCCAGGGGAGGCACCCTCACACCCAAAGATGCTTTTGCCAAGATGGCTGCGCTGTTCCTTTGAGTTCCTGCTTCTTGTATATTGCTTCTGGGACTCTGGGCTGAGGAAGAAGGGACTCCCCACCTAGAGCAGGTGATGGGGAAAGGGAAGTGAAGGCAGCATGTGGTGGTTGTGATGGGGAGGCGGGAGGTGAAGTTGTCTCTCTCTGGGCAGGGGGCCCCCAAAGGCGAGTGATCACCTTCCCTACCCTTCACCCTCCTGCAGGGGAGGCAAAGCCAGGTACCAGGGCCTGCAGTCAGGACACCCTTGTACCGGGGGCTCCACCCCAAACCTTAGACTCCAGAAGCTCTGGGCTGGGGATGTCTCCTGAGTACCTCTTCCAGCACCCACCTCTCCAGCCTCTCACCCTGGCTTCCCACCCCACCCTCCAGCTCTTTGAGAGTAGGGTAGTCCCATTGCCACAGTAGCCCTGCCATTGCCATTCTCCCAGGGGTGGCTGTCCACCTCTACTCTGACCCCTTCTTGTCTCTTTTGCCCCTCCCTCTTTTCTCACAAGTGCCATGAGTTTTCAAACATCTTCGGGTCTCAGCCTGTTGCTGCCATAAACTTCTTTGGGTTAAGGGGGGCGGGCTCTAGGGAGGAACTGGGGGAAGGGACAGGTAGGTGGCTGGAGGAACCCTTTTTGCTGCTAGAAAGCCCCTCCCTTCTAGAGAGCTGGGGCTGGCTTGTCCCCATCAGTTAGGGGAGAAGGGGTCAGACCAAAGATGGTGGTTTGTCCCATGTAGGGAGACAGGTGTGGGGAGAAGGCAGGGTGGGTTCCCATCTCTGGCTTTTTCAAGTAGGAAGGCTTAACCTCTTTCAGCTGAAAACCATGGGTTAGTCTGGATGGGGGAAGAGAAACAAGGACAGGGAGTCTTGCCCAGCATTATGTGGCCTTCCTTGGCGTCACTAGACCAGGAACTCCACTGTAGGAAGGGGCAGCCAGGGGTCTGTGAAGACCTGGCGAGAGGAGGGACAATGGAGTTGGCCCAGCATAGTCCAGCTAGAGCCAGAGGCTGCCTCTGACACCAGCAAGAGGGCGAGGAGAGCAGGCTTGGTGGGAGAGTTCTCCGGGGGACTGGAGGCATCCGAGGAATCTGCTTCCTCGCCCCTGACCAGCCCTCCTATCTCTCCAGACACTGACAATCAAAGGGAGAGAGGGTGGGGCAGGTCCCTAGGTTCCCATTCCGCCAAAATCACCAAGGTGGATTCCCAGGCCTCAAAGCTGCATGGCAGGGCCCCCTGGTGGGGTTGGGCATCACTGCAGCCTAGTGCAAAGCCACCCCAAGAGCCCAGGTGTCCCCTCACCCCGACCAGACCTGGTGCCTTGACACCCCACCCCAGCTGGGACGGTATAGAGAAGGAAGGGTCTTGGTTTCCTCTCCTACTCCCTTCCTTGGGCTCCTGAATTCATTTGCTTTTAAATCTAATATTTTTCTCAGTCTTTTTTTTGGGGGGGGGGTGTTTTTGTTTGGTTTCCCTTGCCTTCCTTTCTGTCTCCACCTCTTTCCCTGTGTTTTTCTCACTGTGTTCCTCTTCTTTCACCCGCGATTTCTCTGTCCATTTGGGCCTCCTCCCCTCTCTCCCATGCCCCCCAGTCCCTCCTTGGTCTCCTTTTCGATATGCCAAACCAATTTTGGGTCGAGTGCATTTAACGAGAACAAAACAAAAGGCTCATAACAAGAACGTTTCAGAAAAAAACAAAGTTTTAAAAAAATTGTTGAGTCAAAAAAAAAAACAATAAAGAAATTAAGATTTCTTGGAATAACAAGAGTGGTGTGACTCACTGGGGGGTAAGAAACGGGTGAGTGGACCTGCTCGAAGTATCCCCATGAAGCTGAAATAGCAAGGAACCTGCACTGCAGCATTTTGAACCATGGCAGAGGCCTGATGAATCACAGAATCGTTAATGTTTGCAGAGAGCTTTATAAGTTTCTAGGCCTGGCTGAGCACTTCAGGTGCAGTTTCTCTTTGAATTCTCATAAATGTTCTAGGATGGAGGTTATGAGATATCCATTTTCTAGATGAGGAAACTGGCTTACCGTGCCTACATGCATGCCCAAGTCTCCCTGGGCCAGGCCACTGTCCTGTCGAGTCTCAGAGAAGCCCTTCAAGCTGTATTTAGAGCAGAGCACAGCACAGTAACTGTATGCTGTGCCTGTCTCATTCCAACTCCCTGACTCCCACACGCGGCTAGAATGGTGCATTTTCAAACATGACAAGGTGGAACTGCATCATGTGTATTTCACATTCTCAAATATAGCTGCCAGTGCTGAGAGAGAGGAATGACTACTCAAACAGTGTAAGCATCTCTCTCCATGCTTCTCTGCCTTCAACATCTGCATCCTGAATGCCATATTCTCCTAATTATCTTTCCACTTCTCCAGCCACTCCTTCCCAGTCTCTGCAGCTGGCTCCTTCTCATCTCTCCACTTCTCAACACTGGTGAGCCCAGCTACCTAGACTCATTCCCTGGGAGATCTCAGCCTTGCAGCATGGTTTTATTTCTTTTTTATTTAATTTATTTATTTTTTGCAGCATGGTTTTAAATAACTATAAACTGATGACTCCCAAATAGCTCCAGCCTGAACGTTCTACCCTCAAGTTCCAAATTCATACATATCAACTACCCACTCCACATCTCCCCCTGGGTGTCTGGTAGGACTTCAAACTTAACCTGTCCAAACCTGTCCCCCCAGCTCCTCCCATAAGCTCCCTAACCTCAATTAATGGCAAATCTATCTGATGATTCCAGAATAAAACCCTGAGGTTAACCTTGTACTTATATCATTGTTCAACCCCCATCTAATCCGACAGTGAATGTGATAGTTCTAACTCTAAAATATCCATAGTAAACTAGTTCTTACCACCTTGGTTCAAGCCACTATTGTCTCACCAAGACCGCTGCAACAGTCCCCAACTAGTTCCCTTTGTCTTTCAGGCTTTTCTCAAAACAGATTTGGAATGATAAGCATCTTGTCCTTCCTCTACTCAAAACTCTCCAATATACTCCCCTCTTGCCCAGACAAAAGGCCAAGGTCAGCCCAACAGCCTACAATGACCTATAACACTCTACATCAATCTCATCCCCATGGCTCTCCTTCCCTCTACTCTAGCCACAGTGGGTTCCTCACTATACACAAACGTGCAGCAGCACCTGCCTCAGAGCCTTTGCACTGACCATTCCATAGCGTTCATTTATTCTTCTGCAGGGCTTATGAAAATCAGAGCTTCCCAGGCCCCTCCATTTAAATTGCAATTGGCCCCTCCAGAATTCCCTACCCCACACATCTTGCTTTGTCTCCCATAGCACTCCTATCTAGCAAACTAAAGAATTTTTGGCTTTTTTATTATCTGCCTTCCCGACTAGACTGTAATATAGAATGTTTTTTTCACTACTGTTCCCCAGTGTCCAGCACAGCATCAGACACATAGTAAGTGATCAATAAGTATTTGTTAAAGGATGAAAATATGAAATGAGCAGAAGACCCAGAATGAGTCTGAAACAAGAGTTACAAATGATGGGAACTATGAATCTGCCACTTCCTCCATTGCTCTCAGTTCCAATGTGCCCCTCACCGTGCAATGCTAAGGTTTAATTTAGCATAGTCCTGAAACCTAATAAGTTCAATATTTTAGCTGGTACCCAACCCAAGAAAAGGCAACCTGTTCCTATGCTGGAAGAGGAGCTGATTCTTTGGACTTACTGAGAGATACTCTGTGGGCAAGTTCTGGGGACTTCAAAGGATAATAAATTTAACTATATATGATTTTTAACTTCATGCTCTAATTTTTTTTTAAAGATTTTATTTATTTTTTTATGAGAGACACACAGAGAGACAGAGGCAGAGACATGGGCTGAGGGGAGAAGCAGGCTCCAAGCAGGGAGCCCAATGTGGGACTTGATCCTGGGTCTCCAGGATCACACCCTAGGCGGAAGGCAGGTGCTAAACTGCTGAGTCACCCAGGTGTGTCTTCATGCTCTGATTTTGAAATTAATCTCTATGAGATTCTACAACATGACCAGCTTTTTCATCTCTGTATCCTTTACTCTCGCCAGCACTGCACACATCCTTCTCTGCTAGCACAATCTAAATCTGTTGTGCCCGATGCCTAGGACCCTTGGGTGGTTGCTAGTGGCACACGTACATACCTGGGGCAATCACTTGCATGTGCCCAGGAACAGTAACATGAAATTAATCACTTTAAAGTTCTTTCCTACATTTCATCTCACTTAATTATCACAAGGTATGTATTATTATCCCTATTTATCAAATGAGGAAGCTGAAGTTAGAGCAACTGAGTTCCTCAACAAAATTACTAAGCAGTTCAAAGGATCTGCATCTTGTAGATGCTTTCCATGCCCCAATTTAATCCTTTCAATGATGCAACGAGGCAGTGTTAGCCCCATTTTATGGCTGTAAAAGCTGAAACTCAGGAAGGTTAGAGAATGTCCACACATTCACTCAGCTGAGAGTGCTGAGCCAGGCCTCCATCCTGGTCTTCTGATCCCAGAGGTTGCTTCTAGGGATGTCTGTATTCAGCTGCAACTGCCCACTCCCCATCACTGTTCACCCATCCTACGCGGCACACAATAAAGGAGGCTGACAATCTGGCTCCCCACACCAAAGAAGATGCCCACTAACCATGCCACACCCCAACAGTCCCCATGCAGCTAGTAGTAAGACTGTTCAGAGTGGGAAGGCCTTAATGCATAACAGAAGATTCTCTTTATTTTTTTTAAAAGCTTTTATTCATTCATTCATTCATTCATTCATTCATGAGACACAGAGAGGCAGAGACATAGGCAGAGGGAGAAGCAGGCAATCTGTGGGGAGCCTGATGCAGGACTTGATCCCAGGACCCCAGATCATGACCTGAGCCAAAGGCAGATGCTCAACCACTAAGCCACCCAGGTGCCCCAGAAGATTTTCTTTAGACTCTCAAAAGACTAAAGGCACTGGGGACCTCTGTCCTTTAGAAAACCTCCTCCCTGCCACAAACTCCTGGGAAGGTCTGGGGGA